ATATTTAACCATAACTTCTACTAGAGTACCAGACGTTGTACATTCCTTTTAATTTATTATTATTATTATTATGCGCAGAAATTCCGCCACTTACGAGTGGTTATTTGATGTTGACACGGTTAGCTCCCGTGTCAGTAACCTCATTTATTGGGGGAGGTTAGTTGGGAAACCCGTTCGATGCGTAATCAACGCTAAACAACTTATTTAGTTGTCTAGTTGAGAAGTTTGTTAAATGTTGTGTGCTTGAAAAACAGGTGCAACAAGGTAAGTTGTGTGTTGATAGGCAAATGCATGTTAGTGTGTTAAATACGCTTATGTACTCAGCTTTGCTGATTGTGTGTTTGTTTGCCTTGTCTTTACCTTGGTCCTATAATGACCCATTTTTAATGGAGAGTAGTGGAAACAAGTAGAGAGAAGCTTTTTAGGTGATGAAGCATATTCATGAAGGGCATGAGTGAAGAGCGAATCATACTTGTTTCCATAAGTATATGATGTGTTATTGCTTTACTTATATTATGATATTGCTATTGCGAGACTAACGTAAAAGTTTTAAGTTGAATTGATTTGGTAAGGGTCCACAATGGTTCCAAGTTGTAGGTTTGACTTTGTTTTACTTTGGTTTGACTTTAGTTTTTTTAGTTGACTTTTAAAGTTGGGTTGTTTTAAATTATTTTAAAGGAGATTCTTCCGCTGTGTGTTTTTGATAGTTGTCTTAGTCGTTTTCACGGTGACAGTAATACCTTAAATATTCCTATTTAATATTTTAAACAGGGCAAAACAAGTATTTTAAAAGGAAGGAATTTCTAGGATGTGGTAATTACAAGTAGTATATATTAGGAAATTTAGACAATTACCACCTACTATTGTTTCCATTTTAGCAATTATCACATACTATTTTTTTTTTTGAAAATTACCACCAACTTTTTTCTTAAACACTAAAAGTTCACACCTAGTTGGCTCTCAATCACCTTATGACGTCATGTGGGCCCCTTATAATACCTTCCCTCCCTTTTACCCTCCAATTTCTTATTTCTCATTCGATACTTCACTCCTAGGTTCAATTTTTGCTGAAAGAAATCGAATAATATTTACACTATAATATCCGAAATTCGAAGCTTAACTAATAACACATATAGTACAACTATATGCTTATTTACATAAAAGAATAAAACGAATAATATTTACACTATATACTTAAGAATTAAGATAGGGGGTGTTTAAGGATCATGAACAATTAAGTAAGCAAACCAAACAATAAATAGTCTAATATTCACAAGTGACAACACAAGTAACAAACATAGTTGAGGTTCGAAATTCGACACAATTTAACCTCTAATTTCCATTCCTTTAGTTTCATTCAATACTCGGTTTAGCATTTAGCTTGCCGGATTTCCGCCGCGGACTATCCATTATTTTACTCACTAAACTAGTAGAATCTTGCAAAAATATTACCAACCCAATAAATAAATTTTATCGATCAATTCATACACTTAATATAATTGACATGAGCCACTCACACTAATTGTCTAATTAAACTAAGTCGTATACTATAAATTACCATCAAACGCCGCGTCTAACAATAATCTAGCTAGTTTAATTACTTTATAGATGCATCGTATAATATCACACATACAAAGATTAAACCTTAAATTTAAACCAACGATCATAATAAATACAAAATTCAATATTAAAAATACTAACAAACTCCGCTTTCAATAGCGAGACCAAAATCATGAAAAATCAAAGACAAAATTACATCCAATTAACAAGTATAATAAAATAAGTTTAAACTAATAAACTGGGTGATTAAGGATTAAAGTAGGGAGAAACTTATGAATTAGGAGTATAACAAGGTAGCCGCTACACTCGATCCTCCGCCGATGTCGAACACTTGCCTCCAATGATCCTCAATTCCGTAGTTTTTTTATCACCCGTGTACTATAAACTTGATCTCACAATCCTCAATTTGTGGATCTCCTTGTTCGTGTCTCCCTCTTTGATAAAAGAGTTCCCCAATTTATACAATTGATAGCCGAGATCCGTGATGAGTAAGGGAGATAACTCCCATAATTATGGATTTCTCATCACGGTACACTCGGGTAAATATAACAATTTCTCTATGACCGTATGTAATTCTCAAGTGGAGTGAAATTTGGTAAAAAAAAAAAGGAATAATGAAAATAAATAATCCCACCTTTGCTTGGTCTGACAATAACAATCCCACATTTTGATTAATACGAGACCACCTTGGTATGTCGTCTTCTTCTAACAGACATTTTTACCTACAACCTACTAAACAAGTTTAAATGTTTTTTTTTGTAAAGCCATGTGTCGCCTAGTAATTGGTCAAAACAAAAAAAATTAAAAACAAAAACAAGTAAAAAAAATTTAAAAAGAAAGAAAAAACCCCACAACCCTCCCTAACCATCGTGAACCCTTTCCCCACCAAAAATCGGTCGGCCGCCACCCTAAACCCTCGAAAACAGTCGGCTTAAACCCCCTGATCCATATCCCACCTCCATAACCACCACAACCACCACCGAAATCACCCCCTACACTAATTCCCACCTTGAAACCTCCATAAACCTCACCGAAATCAATCCCTGAACAATATCCCACCCCGAAACCTCCACAACCACCACAACCATCACCTTGGAAAACCTATTTAGCCGCCGAAATTTCCGTTGAAAACCTCCATAACCACCACAACCATCACCGTCGAACTCCATCCCTACCCGAAACATCCTACCTAACCTCCTTAACTACACATAAAACCCCTATCTTAGCCTTAAAACCCCCTTAAACACCCTAAAAACACAACCCTGGTTGATGTGAAATAACCAAGGAAAACAAGAAGAAGGGGGAGTATTCAAGTAACCACAACTTCAAAATCAACAAAATAAGATAAACCTATCTCAACAATTACCAAGATAAATGAAATAGGAGATTCTTAATCAAGATAACACAAAGTAAAGCTAGGATTAAGGTGTAACCACAAAGATTACAAAGTAGCAATCACAAAGAAAGCCAAATAATCACAAAGATTATGGTAGAGAGAGAAAGTCTCTTTGATTACAAAATTAAATCAAACAAAAAGTTCATCAAAAATTAAGTGCAAAACGTTCTAAAAAGGAACTTAAATAATCCGTACAAAACTGACTGAAAATGAGAAAAGGTCCGGCCAAACACAGGGTAGGTTCGGTCGGACTGCTGGGTAGGTTCGGCCGAACCAAGGGGTAGGTTCTGTCGAACTTCCTTGCCTCTGGTTCGATCGAACTTTTGGTGTTCGACCCCTCCTGCAAAGATGCTGAAATCTGATTTGAAACTACCTTGGAGGTTCGCGGTTCGTTCGAACTTCCTCGCTCCTCGAGACTGCCTAGACAACTTAACTTCAAACGTTCATAACTTCTCCGTTTTTTGCTCAAATTTGGTATGTAACCTGTCGTTGGAAAGCTCTTGAACTCTACTTTCAACTCCAACTTGTATCACCTAAAAATTCCTTGTAATGAAGGAAATATGGCTGAATTAAATAGTTGCATCATATATTGTTAAGCTTCTTCCCTCTCATCCTTGTTCCCATTCTTTATCTTCAATCATCAATTGTAAAATCAAGACACAAGGATTACTTTTATTCACCCAAGTCACGTCATAACATAGAGAATTTATCCAGAAGGTAGATTGGAGCCATAAATGCAACCAAATGGATGTCGCACAACTCGTAGTTTTCAGTGATGCTCCCGCATCACTGGTGCTGGACTGTTGGCCAACCATTTTCGGTGACTAAGGAGGGCGACCGACCAGTTTTAGGTGGTGGTTGGGGTAGGGGCTAGGTTTTCACGGTGGGGGTTGTTGGGTTTTTTTTTTCGTTTTTAATTTTGTATTTATTATTTTGCTTTTATTATTATTTATAAAAATGAAATAAACCTATTAAAATCTGACAAGTGACATATAACCTACAAAATAGGTTACCAACAAGTCAAGATCTATTAAAAGAAGATGACATATCAAGGTGGGATTGTATTGTAATAATCAAAAGGTGGGATGGTTATCGTCAGACCACGCAAAGGTGAGATTATATAATTCCATTTTTTTAAAAAAAAAAAAATTATTTTCTACCTATTTATATAGCACTTGAGTGCAAGGTGCATATGAAGGAATTTTCTACTTATATATATATATATATATATATATATATATATATATATATATAGGAGAGATCCGGTGAGAATAAATTCATATGTGAGAATTCATACTTACATGAGAACTGATCTGTAATTTAGAACACATGAGTAAAAATTTAGAACATACGAGTAAAAATTTTGAACATGCGACTCAAATTTAAATTTAGAACATATGACTAATAATTTAGAACATATGAATAATAATTTTGAACATGTGTGTGAGCAATAATTTAGAACATCTGATTCAAGAATTAGAACATGTGAGTAAAAATTTAAAAAATTTGCTTTATGAAATTTTAAACATATGATAAAAATTTAGAACATCAGATTTAAAATTTAGAACGTGTGAATAAAAAATTTAGAACTCTTGGTATAAAATATAGAAAATGGGAGTAAAAATATTGAATATATATGTAAAAATACAGAACATGCGAGTAAAAATTGGAACATATGCTTTCGGATTTAGAACATATAACTAAAAATCTTAGAACACACGCACGTTTTAAAATTTAGAGCATATAAGTTAAAATTTCGGAATAAGTCATTCGAAATTTATAACATCTAAATTAACTAAATTATGGTTTAGAACATTTGAGTAATAATTTAGAACATCTGATTTAATTTTGAACACCTTGAAAAAAGTTTAGAACATTAGATTTAAAATTTAGAACGTAAAAATTTAGAACATAAAAAGTGTTCTCACATAAGAAAAATTCTCACGAGAGCCTCCCGGTGCACCTACTTTATGTGCACCTTGGTGTATATGAAAGGTATTTCAAGAATGATGTAAAGGTAGGTTTAAAAAAAAAAAAATTGACGTAAAGGTAAAGAGAGTTATGAAACCACATACATTTCTTTGGTTCATGGTTTGTGCAAGCACTTAAAGGCCATCACAACATAACAGATTCAACGCCTTAAAAAGTATCAGAATGCCAAGAAATAATCATCAAATTACTGATGAATTAGACCAACTACAGAACCTAATCACAGCACATATTAACCAATACAAATGAACTCGAATACAATTACATTCTCTTCCCAAATCGGCAGGTCCATTCTTCCCATTAAGCATAGTAGCTTGTTAGCTGCAGATTCAAAGTCCAGATCGAAAACCTACGAGTATAACATTCCCAAAAATATACCCACAAAAGTCTTTACCTAGAGGAGAGGAATTACAGGCTTTGTAGAAAAGGAAACCTCACACAGGAACCAGCAATTTTGACTCATATAATGTGCAAGAAAATCTCTTGCAAAAATCAAGATACAGCTATCCACTCCTCAATGAAGAAAATGGAATGGATTGATGAAAGAACGTCAATATACAGAGCCCTTGAGTTCTATACAAGAAACTTCATATACTAAATCCATAGAGTAAACGCTTGAACCTCATTCTGATACCTCAAAACATACAATTGGTAACATGGAGACAAAACATCAAGCACAACCTGAAAACATAAGTAATAGTTACCCAGCCAAGCAAAAAAGAAAACTATTATAAACCAAAGGGCTATTTTGCATATTGAGACCAAGACCTGCTACTTATTAGAGCTTCTACTCCAGTAAATGAGCAGAAACAGTTGCCCGGACAAGCCCCCCCCCCCCCCCCCCCCCAAAAAAAAAAAAAAAAAAAATCATAAACTTACAAGTTGGGATTATACACGGGTCTTCACTTTTTGGAAAGATGAGGTTTTACAGATTCCACTACCACCTGTTTGACAACAGAGAAATTCAAGATCAAATCATCACACAGGTTTTATTATTACTAGCAAAAGAAAACAGGCAACACTTCTCTCTGAGAGCTGATTTTTATTTCAAGGCCTCTTTCCTAATTAATTGGGACCAAATGAACTTACCCTTCCATCATAGGACAAAGATGCAAAAATCAAGGGCTCCCTAGAACTCCAAGCAAGGCCTAAAAATGAAATAGATGGTAAAAAACAATGAAGAAAAATGAAGAAGAAGAAGAAGAAAAAAGAACAGAGCTGTCTCAAGATATACCATAAACACTGTCTTCGTAATCATTGTAAGAGTTCAGTAAAGGGTCTACGTGCTTAGTTGGGGACTCCAACAAACTGCAACAACATCAAATTTAGGTGAATTACACTATTACAAAATCAAAGTTGTAGATTGGACTGAAATTTACAGTTCGTATAATAAGAATACCTTTCAGGTGATATATCCTCACTGCTTTGTGTAGGAGCTTGCCATAGGCTGACAGATGAATCTGTTCCAGCACTCTGCATGAGTGGCAGCTTATCAATATTCTTATAGTTGCAACTTTTTCTTTGTATACCACAAAAAATGGCTCGCTTAATAAATGTAAATATTTCAAGAAAAAGACTTTGGAGGAATGATTCAACCACAAATAACAATTTTGAACTCATGCTTCAGATAAGTGACTGTGACAGTGAGCATAGATGATTGACAAATTGCCATATGTTTTAAGCTCTAATTTCTGCCAACTTATAACTTCTATGGTTTGCATAACGTGAATGGGGTGTACCGATAAATGTACAATTTAAATATAAAGGAAAGAGAGAGAACCAATATTAGACCGTCATACTCAGGGTTAGACTTCACTGCCCATGTCCTGTCAGCAAAAACACATGAAGCCGTGTTAAGAGAGGTATAATTACAGAATAACTTTTACAAGCTACTAGTCAGTCAAAACAACAGAAAATGAATAAAAGAAAGCAAAGCATAGCAAATTACAAATGCCTAGGGAGATAAGTGGTTATATGAACATACTGGCATGCATTCTATTTGCAACCTAACATTTAAGGAAGTTAAAGTCCCGACCACGCAACAAGAGACAGCTGCTACAGTGCAATTACAGCTTTTTAAAGATGGTAGACAGGACCCTAAGTTTTACTCATCAAGTTCAGAAAATAGAAAGGTCAAATAGAGTCAGTTTCCGATTTAAACAAATTAATAAAAGCTCAACTTGACAAGGATAATAACAGCAGCACAACAACAACACCAACAAGGAGAACAGCAAGTAGCTCATCATATCTTCTATTTATAAACAAAATTTATATGGTCTTATAGCAATGACATGGTAAACAACAAACTGGACATATGTTTAGCTTCTACTAGTATAGATTACATATTATCTAGTACACCACTTGACAAGAAGGAAGGTAGCAGCAAGCTTTGCTTTCAAATATTGCCACATGAGCATTCTTACAAGTTACAAGTGAAATGAATGGCTTTCCTGCAAAATTAATCGAAATTATAAATTAATTGCAGGTAACTTGGAATTTATCCCTGTATTATTTCAGAAAACATCTAAATTCTATAATAATTAAAGCACCATTGCTCTCAACAGACAACTATAGCCTTAGTTTAGGCAAAGCATTCATAAATTATTTATACAGTCAATTACAGGCCTTACAGCAGATACAGCTCATGCACTAGGTACTGAAAGAACAATGGAGCCATTGCCCAAACAGACTACGCTAACCATACAACCACATTGTTAAAAATAAATAAAAGTCCACAGCTAATCAAAAAGAAAAAAATGCAGCAGAGACAGCCTGCATTATTGTTGTGATCTTTTACCAGTGTGCATGGCCAGGAAGCTCGGTGATGGGAGCCTTTAACATCCTAAGATCCCAAATGCGTATTCCAGACTCATCCTCAGCAGTTACCTAATTGATAATGAACTAATTAACATCACGGCTCAGACTCTTAACATAAGCAATAAAAATAACAGCTTCAGCAACAAGATTAACAAAGCATATACATAGTATATACTAATGCATTCAGGTGATCTTCTTGCAAGATAATTGGTAGATAATAAGCTCACCTGAAGCTGTATATACTATAATAAGCTACTTTGTAGATAATAAGCTCACCTGAAGCTGTATATATACTTCAAGTGGGCCTCTTGCAAGGTACTCTTCCTTTTACATATTTAGATAGCTTCCAAGATGAGAATTATAGCCCCAATATATGAGTAATAAATCTAAAGAGCTGAAGAGACAATACTTAGTATCATTTTAAGACTGTAAACTGCCATTTCGAGAGGCGTCAATACACTACCTAGACTCAGAGTCTCAGATATGTATTTTATGAGATTCTAACAAAAGGTGCTAGACTGAATAATTCTTTAAATTTTTGGAAGTGGTAACCTTGTCTTGAATTTGAGCACAAGTAGATGATGCACCATCTGGTAGGATGAAAGTGTATCATCAACCAATTGTCCAAAAGATTTATTACTTAACAGGAAACAAGTCAAATAACTGGCAATATAATGGTCATCAATGTTCATTTCTTTTGTTTCTACATCTTTAGTTTTCACCAAACATTGCACAGTTGCAATATTTTTCATTTAATGAACTAGTTACTGCACCCATGCAAGACATGAAGTTCTTAGGCAACTCAGATATTTTGTATACATTATAAAACTATTACCTGGACTCCTTTGTACTTTGTAACATCACATTTGTGAACCATAATTATTCATATAAGATAACTCTTATGATATTTACCTAAAGAGAGCTTATAATTTCCAACTTCACATTAAGAATCCAAGGGGTTGATCAAACCAGTCGTTAAGTAGTACCATAATCAAAGCCTTATTCCCAAAATGATGGGATTGGCAGCATGAAACAAAAATCTATTTCATGTGGTCGTCCACATAGATCCTCTCCTCTAGTTTTTATCCATTGTAAATTGATTTTGTGAACCCACATTCTTCATATTATATTCAACTACATCCATCCAAGTCATTTTAAGCCTCCCTTGGCGTTATCCCAACTATCTACTTTCCTTACCCTAGTTTTACATCTCACATGCCTAAACCAACATTGTCAATCCCACTGAATCTTATCCTCCATATCTCCATAATTCTAATTTTCCTCCAAATATCTACATCTTTAATTTTATTTTTTAAAATGTTACCACTTCCCACACATCCATCTCCACTAAGAAATCTTTGTATAGCCATCTTCTTAATATGCTTTTTTTAAAAAAAAAAAAAAATAGCCAACATTCTTACCAGTATACTAGCTTTTTACTTTTAACCTCATTTTAAGCCCAATGTTACATGACATAAATCTATTCAATACGAGATACAAAAACAAACATGCAGAGCCCTAAAAATTATGAATTCGGTACAATTGTGTACAAAATGAATAAGGAAAATTTTTAAAGATGTATGTGATTTCTTTTTTATCAATGTATGCTGAAATGTATTTAATATTTATCTGAGTCAATGGGAGTTTTAAAAGATAAGCGAAATATTTGTGCCAAAATATGTTTTTCCCTGATCTAGTTAGGAAAGAAATCAATCGGATGCTAACATATGCAAAGCCATAACACAATTTTGAACTTTACGAAGTCACTTGTCCTCATTAGATCCCCACTTGCTAACCCTTATTTTTATGAGTATAATGCAAAAGAAGAGTAAAAGCCAGTGTCACTAGACAACCGAAAGTTTGCAACACTATTATCTTTTCTCCCTCATTCTTTCTCCTCTCTGGCAAGCAGATTGTGGGTTGAACTAAACCCTAGACCTGAAATTAAGTTTGAGGGGCTGGTCCACCTGGTTGCCCCATCCAGCAACTTGGATTGGACCGGCATCTTTTTCTGGGTTGCATTTGTTCTGCTATTTGAGACAAAGGATACAATTTGTGGTTCATGGTTCTGTTTGGCATTCCCAAGAATTATTGTGTGAGCCAAACAGACTAAATTATATGAGCTACATCATAAAAATTATCTCCATTTCTTTAAAAAATCGATTTGTGGTACTTAAAACATTCACTAACAGGGAACTCCCAACCATATAATGTCACAACATCCTCACTTTGCCTTCTCCTAGTACTATATGATAGTCCATGCGCTCAGCTTTACACCTATACAGGCTACACTTAGCCTAAACCCTCATTCAAACTTTTACCTCTATCGCTTCAACTTAGCATTAACCAGCTCTAGCCTCATGTACCAGTACAAACTCATTAATGAACAATACATACAACTCTATCAAATCTTGAACAAACCATGTTACTTCGTACAAAATAAAAGGACTTGGTGTAAACCAATAATAATAGGAAGATCTCTTGTAACTCCACAAGTCCTGTCATTTGTTTCACGTCTTGGTACATATGCTTAAGTAGATCAATAAACTTACGCGGTATTCCCTTCTTTGTCATTGCCCACCAAAAAGCATTTCTCTTAGTACCTTGTCATATGCCTTCTATAAATCAATAAAAAAAAAACTGTGTGCAAATCCATAAGACTGACTTTTCATTTTGTTGAACCACATACAAAATAATAACAGGTGTGTTTAATAAGATTATGAAAAGTGAAGGAATGATATTAAATTATAAAGAAAGAAAATGGTTTTTTTTTTTTTGCATGGAAGGTGCAAGTAAATGAAGGATTAAGGAGAATAATCATCCCCCTTATTTTTTTTTTATTAATATCAATACAACTAATTAAGTAAAAAGGCATAATTTCCACCTTGTATTAGTGGCAGAAAACCAACTTTTTATTCTAAGTGTTTGCAAGTTCAAGTATTGATACACTCTATTTCTTGAAGTTAAAAGAAAAAATGTAGTGCCATGTGAAGGAGTGAAGATGCCACATGGTAAAGTCTTGCTTAAGACAGCACCTTTTAACATAATGCATAAATCATAGGTATGGATTCTTGATTTTCATAAACCTAAATTAAGTACATACCCTAGCCTTTTATATTCAGTATTCCACAGGTAATTTATTTCTTTTGCAAAGAAAGCAGCTTCATTTTTTCCAAAGTCCTAACACCTTTTCTTCTCTAAAAATACGATTCTCTTGCCCCTTTGTGCAAACCTTTTTTTTTTTTTTTTTTTTATTTATTTATTCTCTTGCCACTATGACATTATCCAACTAGCAACTACAAAAACTGCAACTCAATAAACAAATCTTCAATCCGATGCCTCCCTCATAGAGCAAGGGTTTCTGCATGTGACCCAAAATTTCCATATATGGGCCTCAATGTAAAGGTGGCCCGGGAAGCTGAGGGCTCGTTTGGTAATGTTTTCTTTTTTAGTTATTAGTTTGTCAGAAACTGAAGTATAATATTTTATTTGGTTGTCTAATTTTCCAAAACTAGCACAAAACAGTCCTTTATTTTTAGTACAGTACAAAATGAAGAGTATAGATCTAGCGGAGTTATTACTCACAAAACAACCTTTTTTTTCTTCTCTCTCCACACTTGAATGACCCCTTCACTCTCGTAATTTTAAATTGTCAATGGAGGGTCTCTTGCCCTCAATGTCGTTGGAGGTTGGTTTTTAACTTTTAAAGGAGAGAAAGCTCATGAGGGGCAGGATAAGATGAGAATGAAAATTTTATGCATTTTTCTTCTTATTGTTAATCAACCACCCAATTTAATCACATGAAAACACAAAATTAAAATTCAAGAAGAGAGGAAAAAGGAATGGAGTGAGAAACAGATTGAGAAAAGTAGGAGAAGGAAAAAGGTTGCAGCAACCCAGATGAATATCTGAAAATGAAGGAGAAAGGAGAGAGGAAAGAGAAACCACTAAAAGCTCTCTCTCTCTCTCTCTCTCTCTCTCTCACTCTCGAACAAGTTTTGTTTTGATTTGGGACATTATTATATATATATATAAAAAAAAAATATTATCCAGACATTCTTTCATATAGTCTAAAGGTATTAGCTATCTTTCCTGGTCCCGATTCCACATCATTTCTTCCACCTTCATGTCAAAATATAAAACCTTTTCTTCTAACAGGTAACCGCAGTTATACGTCAATAGCATTAAAAAAAAAGTAGTATACATCCTACATGCCCTAGTATACTGTGATTTCATGTTAAACTGTCTTTGATATTGACAGTAAACACTAAACAAATTCTATCAATGAATCTGGGAAAAAACCATGACCATCAAAAGGCTTCCATGCACCGTCAACTGCTAAAAAATATCTCGTCCAGAGCTGTTGTCTGAACTTTTTTCACACAAGTTCAAATCATGCAAGTGTTCAGCAGTTGGGAACTTATGCGCAATCGGTGTGATTGGATAACAATACAGTAAAATCTTCACCAGACCCATATTTTCTAATATATATACTCCCTCTGCCCACAATTATTTTCTGGTAAGGCTTTGTCACACATATTAAGAAATCTAGTTGACATGGCCATAAAGTGGTTAAATGTTTACAAAAAAATTTAAGTGTGGATAAAGAGGGAAACAAATAGTATTTAGCGTTGGAATTGTGAGAAAAAATGCTAATGTGACGGAGAAACAAAAAGTAGTAAGAATAAAGACCCAAAATATATGGTGCAGGAAGATAATTTTAGGACATTTAAAAGAGTATACATGAAGATAATTATCAACTGAGAAAATAATTCAAATATGTGATGGGAACAGGTCCTTCTTTAGTTTATTTACGAAACTTTTGGATATGGAAACTACAATTAGCACTATACCAAAAGCGTTAGCAATACAGGTTGGAGCTACGAGCTTCATTAAGCTAAATAAGCAACTTACCAGAATATTGCTCTTTTTGGCATCATAATCCACATTGCGGGCATGCATTTGCTCAATTGAGTTATTCATCCTAAAGAAAATAGAAATTTTTAGTCATCCTAAAGAAAATAGAAATTTTTAGTCTAACAGCACGTAAACAGAGCATGTCGCAGGGACCGTATGTTTAGCTAGCAGGAGGCCAAGCTGCCACTGTACAAACATAATCTGACCTTAAAAATAAATAAATAAATAAATAAATAAATATATATATATATATATATATATATATATAGAGGGCCTTGTAAGGCATAGATATGGAAAATACACATTGAAAAGCAACAGATGTAATAATATCATTATCTCTAAATAGATGGAAGGCCCCTTAACTGCCATCAAGAAGAAACATAATTACATCATTACATGAACATGGTCTCTACATAGAACCTTTGCGAGAAAGGCCCATAGACTGTCAATCAAATATAATTTAAAACTTTGATAGGTTAGATGCCACAAATAAAACAATAAAGTGGTCAAATCATTGACTTAATGGAGAGAATTATACATATACAAGTAAACAAATCAGCATCAAATAAATCCCGAAAAATGAATCCTTCAGGCTTCAGTATTGTCTGCTGGAAGCTTTTTACTTCCTCCAGTCCAAAACAAGTTTCCATGTACTACCTATTCTAATTCAAGACAAACATATGACAAAGAGGAGAAAGTATCAACAGTGAGAGCAAGTATCAGAACATACTTCATTGTCCGTAAATCCCAGAGCTGGATTGCTGATTCACTAGTTAATGTAACAGAATTCACATCATGAGGATCCCATGCTCCACCAGTTAGGTAATGAAGCACACCAGCTGATTCCTGTGACTGTACCTAGAAAACACAGGAACATTCAAATAAAGAATCAGATGATGTTGAATTGAAAGCAGGCACATTTGCATGAGATATAACACATTATAAAGACATAAATACGAATTGATTAGCAAAAATGAAGCCCAATGCAGACGAAGATACAGGTATGGTAGTCTCATTAACCTTTTGCAGCCTCTATAACCGTGAATATGTCAAACTCGCAAGCATTTTCTTTCCCCTTGTGCATTTTCAATTTTTACAACAAATCAACAATTACCCAAAATGAATGTCATGTGTGAAGGGGTTGTCGAGGTCACCAAGTAGTTTTTTATTCTACCAAGCACATAGTGGTAATCCTATTTACAATGATCCTAAAGAATTAATTTTATCAGAGAAAAATGATGAAGAGGATAACATTGTTTATATGGGAAAAGGAACAAATAAAGGTACATAATACAAAGGCATCGATCAAATACAAGCAAATTTATACAAGTAATTGTAGCATTAGTTGTACTAAAAGTAGGTCGAAGTTATAGTTCAAAAAAAAGGAGGTCAAAGTTATGCTCTAAAGTTACTCAAATTTTATATCTGTTCGGGGAATCAGACACATATGTGTTAACTAAAAGACAAAGTGACAGATAAGGATTTTCTTTATATGTCAAGTAACTATTTAATATATAAGTGGAGGAAAATTAAAGGATGATATGATGCCGAAGACAAACAATGTTGCAAAATTTGAAAAGTCATTTAGATACCAGAATGGATTGGATGCAGGCCCTGATAGCAATAGTTGCTGACTGAGAAAATATAGTGGGAAATCTCAAAAAGTGGAATGAAGTAATGACCAAGTTTGGAGCCCCTTTTGACTAAAAGCAGACCCATCACCAAGTGAATAAATATGACTGATTATCTCATGCTTAGAAAGAGACATCTTTCATTAAACTGGTAACTCGTTTAAGGTCCTTTATCATTAGGCTAGTTCATTGTCTTGAACTATTGATAAATAGACCAGCTCTCCATATTCACCACTTACTCCTATTTTGTCCATTCTTTGATCATTTTAGGCTTCATCATAATTAGTGCATATTGGGAAAATTAGTGGAACACTTAGAAAAGTTTATTGCAAATGATAAAAGTAATATTAGACCATATGTCCATAATAGAAAAGCATAGTGGAAGGTGGCTTTAATATCATCTTACAATTGTAAGCTGATAGAAAAAAAATTTGCAGCAAGGACAAGTAAAAGACACATCAGCAAATGCTGTAGGAAGCAGGAGCACTTTCACACCTCAAACAGACGAATTATATAAGTCCTTCTAACATCTGAAAAGCTCAGCTTTTGAAAAATTCAACACAAGTAGCCAATTCACTTCTCCAGGCAATGTAAGACGAAGCTCAGAGGAAATGGGAAACTGCCACAATCTTTCTGTTATATACAGGTACAGCTCAATTATGAAGTAGGGCATACAAAATTATATCAAGGACATTCAAGGTTTATACTTGTTGCAAATACTACATCACAACTTTATACTTCTCAACTATTTTTCATTGCAAATTACCTCAATTTCTAAATAAGTTGAGAGACCAAAAGAAGTAAAAATTTCATATTTCAAAAATTCCAGTCCACGACCTTTACCACAAGAAATAGGACCCACAAAGAGAAAACAAAATATACCCTTCTCTACTCTCCTATTAATCATTTCCATCAAAGGGGGAAGGGGCCATTGTGGGCCTAGCTTTTTTATGAACATATACATCTCCATTTTAGGGACCCAAAGTTTTTACATGAAACCAAATTTCACTGAGAGAGGATCCAAATACCTGAGCGGTCTTCTTTGAAGAATCCAAACTCCACAAGAACAGATTCTGCTCATCAATGCTAATTAATTTATCATGCCTCCCTGTAGGCCACCAAAGAACACTGCAGAATAGACACATTAAATAACTATAAACATTCAAGAGTGCAAAAACTGACATTCCACAAATTTTCAATTAGTCAGCAAACTGCTGCAGAAGGCCAAGTGCTAGACATTAAGTATAATGTCTAACACAATCCAGGAAAATTTTACAGTAAAAATTAAGGACCTGATCAGAAACAGAAAGAAGAGGAAACAAGAAATTGAAGGATCCAATCTAGATAGCAGAACACCACACAAAACAAGGAGACCAGTCTCCTCTTGTGCTTGAAGTAAATGGGCTGATTGTCGAATGCAAGAGAGTAATGGATATTGAATACTGCTTGTTCTAAAACTCCCCCTCAATACTTCTTAATACAATAACCAATTCCAATTGTTTGCGCTTAAGCCTAACATTAACCTATCAGTCAGCCTCTAACACTCCGAATTCCAAAACTTAGCCATAAATCTCCAAACCTGAGAGAAAATCCTAATATTCTTAAATGAGAAAGCGATGGCATGAACATCTTTTATGCATCAGTAAATGGCATAGTTCCTACTTTCTAAAATTCTTATTTCATCTTTCTTTTCTTCAACTCGATAACAAATCTTTAATGACAGACAGAGAATCATAAAGTTACACTTGGAGGTGATATCATAGCTAAAATTTAAAAGGGATCACCCATGTAGAGTAGAAGGAAAGGATCAGATAAGTCTCAGCACCAAAATTCACATGTAATGAAAAAAAGGTTAGTAGCCAGTGAACTAACTAAAAAAGTAAAGTCAACATGATGACTAAGATCCCTGACTGAGTACGAAGCAAACAAATCAGAACATTCTCCCAAAACTGTATAACTGAAAGCTCACCATTTAATTTTACTACTGTGTGCATCAAGAGCAGCAATCCTTTCCAACTGAGGCGAATTTAACTGGCCATACAATTCAGGAATCTGCCATATGGCTGCTCCATATGATTCACCTTTATATAGATGGGAAAAATGGTAAGAAATAAGATGGAAAATTTAGAGGGAAAAAGAAAATTTCGTAACTTGGTCGCGGGTATTTGTTATAATCATTAGCGAGAAGAATCCAATTCTCTCCACCAATAAAATTTAGAAGCCGAATAATGTAATCTTATATTACATAAATTACATATGTTCTGGGACAGGACATGTTATTATGAAGTTCATGTTAGAAGAAGATTCCAATCAAGCGAAATTTCTCATCATTAAGGTTTATTATTTAAAGTTTTTCTGGTCTCCTTGGTTTGGATCATGGTTTGAATCTTCTATTATACCGCAACATGAAAGAACCTTAGATATTGGTGAATAAACACACATGTGCATGGAATAAAAATATGAGCGTAGATAGTAGATAAACCAAACAGATTAAGTTGTCATAGTTTGTTCGGAAAACTGGAGCTGTCTTGCTGATGGTTAATGCAGGCAACATCATCATTACAACGTACCTTAGTTGAACAAAAACGTGATTGACTAATTGACTCGATGCATTCCACTTTTTTTTTTCTTTTTTTTTTTGTGACGGGTGATCTTAACACTTTGAAACTGGAAATTTTAAATTAGGTCAGAAATTTTTTTCGATAAGATGCAATCATTCAGGAGATGCTTATATCTAGTTTTGTAAGTATGCCCCAAGCCCCCAATACATTCCTAGGAAATACCTTGCAATTTCTCCACAATAAAAGAATATCTTGACACAAACAATATTCCTTTTCCCTCCCTTCACCGGCCCACATTAAACGACATTTCAAGTTCTGAATTCAGATAAAAATGAAAATACACATGAACCAAGTGAAAAATTAGTTTCAACAAATGACAATCACCAACAATCACATTCCAATATATCAACCAAATGAGCACAAAGACATCAACTAAAGTAGCATTTTCTACCAACTACAATCAAATAAATCGAAATGAAATAAAATAATCAAATAAATTACCATTAAAAAAGACGGTAGAGAAGATACGCTGATCAAAAGGACAAGAAGCAAGGTCCCAGATCTCATTTGGGTGAGAGAACAATCCTTCACATACAAGCTCAGTTCCACCATTAGAAAGACGAATCAAATGCACCTAATCCCCAAAAATATCCCCCAAATTTCAGAATTCCTAACAGCTCACAAATTCATAAAATTCAAAATTAATCAAAATCAATCGACAAAACACGAAATAAGTTCATGAAATTCACCTCATTTTCTTCTTTAAGAGATAGAGTACCGGCGATGAAGCTGGTGTGATCCATATCCGCCTTAACATCGGCAATGCACCTTGCCTGTATGATCAAAAATAATTTGGAATCGATAAATCAAACGAATAAAATTGGGGGAAAGTTGTTGGTGATGAACAAAATAGAGCTGAAATTAGGGTTAGGGTTAGAGATAAACCTGATATTTAAGACCATAACCAATGCCAGTTGATCCACCCTGCATTTCTTGATTAAACGATCAAAGTGATGAATTTGCCGGGAAGATCACCAGATTTTCACTTTTCTATAACGCTCATAAATTTCCCCGGCCACTGCTTACTAGTAAGACTTCGGGGTAAATAACTTGGAGGGCTGCCCGTTTTCTATCCGGGGGCAAATTGGTAAATGCGCGCTATTTATACTCTTAAACTCTTATTTAAGGGCTCAGTTGTCTACTACTAATAGGGGTGAAAGTAAACTGGATTAAAAAAAAAAAAAAAAAAAAAAAAACGGAACCGAATTGTTCGGTTTAGGGCTTCCAAAAACCGAAAACCGAAAAACTGAAGTTTATTAAGCCCAAATATCCCAACCTATTTCCCCTACATATGTATACGAAAACCTTAATTTACTTTCCTTCTTTTCCCAATTTCCCTTTTACTCTTCTACGGCACCTTCCTCACCAAAACCTTAATCCTCCAAATTTTCCCTTTTTTCTCCCTCACCACCTCACTCAGTCCCGCCACCACCTTCCTTAGTGTTCGTACTCCCTCTAATCACCACCACTTTTCCATTTCACTCTTCCCTTTCTTCTGATCTTGAGTGTGGCGACCTTAATTGCCTAAATTTTCCCCCTTTTTCTCACCTCCCTCACCACCTTCATCACTCATCACCAGTCACGGTTTCTCACCGCCTCTATCAGTCATGGTTTCTCACCGCCTCTGCTTATTTGAAGCCTTGATTTGATGAAGAGATATGCACAATTTACTATTAGATTTGAATTATTTTCAAATTTAGTGTTAGTTATTTGAGGAATTATTTAAGTGTAGTTGTAAACATCTACTTTTGGCCTCCTGTCCCGACAGGAAGTGCTATGACGATAAATGAAACCATCTTTCACTAGTGGAAAAATCGCTATCCGTAACGGGCAAAAATAGCCTATCCGTAACGGGCAGCGGGCGTTACGTATGCTGCCGTTACAGATAGGCTATCTTATTCGTAACGGGCAGCGCCCGTTACAAATAACGGGTTATTCGTAACGGGCACTCTTGACTGCCCGTTACGAATAACCCGTTATTTGTAACGGACAGTTTGACTGCCCGTTACAAATAACGAGGTTATTTGTAACGGGCAGTCAAACTGTCCGTTACAAATAACGAGGTTATTTGTAACGGGCAGTCAAACTGTCCGTTACAAATACTATTGAACCCAAATTTTAAAAAAAAATGCAGCAGGTGATACCTGCTACACTACTAACCTGATAATCTTCTATGATGCCAAATTTTAATTACTATTATCAATATTCAATAATAATAAATATAAAATATAATTAATTATAAAATCAAAGATACAAACTTTAACAAATGTCCAAATTGAATTTACAACAACTCTCTAACATGAGTCAAAAGCTACTATATGAATAATACTCTGAACATCTGGTAGATTCTCAATGCCCAAAAGTAAAGCATCCATCTCATGTCCAATAGGTAAACATGTAGAGCCGTAGAGGTGAATTTGAAAGGTCCATCATGGAGTTGCCATTCCTCAGAGATCATGCACATATGCTGTTGGATAGAAGCATACTCAATTAATTCTGATAAGCAACATATATATATCATCAAACTTGCAGAAGATTATAACTTACATTGACTGAATCTACTGTTTGAAGTTGCTGAGATTCAACCCTAATGTCCCTCACAAGTTTAACATCATTTATCCCAAAATAAGATTGTAGATATAATGATACCTCCTTGCAAGATGAAAGTTGTTCTCCTGTTGGACTGCAGTAAGATAATAGTGAAAAATAAAAAACAACAATCTTCTTGTAAATAGGATCAATATCCAACTAATCCAAACAATGTGATGGGAAGATCATTATATCAATTAAAATTGCTTGAAATGGCCATATAAAGCATGCACGTAGACTTCATGACATGGATGAGAATCAGACATTGATTCAAGCCGTATTATCAATAATCAGTCCCTTTAAACTCTTATATACACCCGGTTTACTCATTTGATGATTAAATGAGCACTAATCACTATAATGAGAAAAAAATACCCTTGGTTCACCTAGCTACTAATCCCCACCTCCCCGTCTCAGCGTCATGGCCCATCTATTTTTATAAGATGGCACAAGATTAAGCATGTACTTTTCAATTTCAAAAAGCTAGAAAATAGCAAAATGCTTCTTTTTTCCTCCACACTCATTCATATATTCACAACCATACATAATGGGTTACACTGAGTTACTAATAACATGAATAACGAATAGGCACTCGTTGCTCCCACAAAAACAAAAACCTAAAGAAAGGGCCACTGAGTTACTAAAAAGACTCGGTGGTTAATCTACTAGCATAAAAAGGAAAATTCAAATAACACTGGTGTAGACACCTAAAAATGTCTCCCCAAAACCAAACCCGTTGATGAACACCTTTCACCGCCATTATTGGTCGATTTGAGTATTTAATCTTTGAAGTGCTTAAATCCATGTTCTATCCAATATATTTCATGAACCAATCCAATTTCTAGCTTATTTCCCTAAACCATAACCTATTTCCCACTTTTCGTGTCCACATCGCAAAACTGAGAGAAACTGATTTTATGGATATAAAATTTTGATCCAATTATTATTTTTTTGGATAGGCCTTTAAATAAGATTTCCAAACATATATCATAAGCCCAATTCCGAGCTATAACGAAAAAGATATGAGCAAAACATTAAACTCGGCCCAAAACCGACACCATTTAACTAAAACGGCCATATCTTAAAATCTAAAAATTACTTTGACCTGATTTCAATTGGGTTAGAAAGTAGACTTGATAATCTTTCCAATGATATATTATATGATTTATTCCGAATTACGGATCAAAAGTTATGATGATTTTAAAAACGCGTAAAAAACTGGAATTACTGCGCAGCAGCTAAAATGCCGCGACGCGGCAAGATCTGACGTGGCACGGGAGAAATTCCCGTGACACGGTAATTTGGAGGGGATTTTCATGTTTTTTTATTGCCCCGGCATAAGTACTGTGACCCGGCGCCATATGTCGTGACACGGTGGACTTTGCCGCGTCACGGCGTTTTCTGCCGTGTCACGGTGGGTTGCTGACGTGTCACGGTGCTTAAAACTTCCCCACGTCACGGGGAACTGTGACGCGACACGGGAATTACTGCCGTGTCACGGTAGGAATTCCCGTGTCACGGTGCCAGTGCTGTGACACAGGACAACTCCGTGTCTTTACCGCGTAATCCCTTCACGCGTTTTTACTCCCGTAGGTCAAATATTTCCCGCGTCACTCTATTTTTTCCCGCTTCACGCTAATTTCCCCCGTGACACGATAGAATCTGTCGTGTCGCGGTAGAATCTACCGTGTCGCGGTAGCCTTTTTTAGGGTTTTTATCTTTTTAGGGTTCCGTGTGTTCCCTCTGCTCATTTTCCCTATAAATACCCCCCTCCTTTCTGCAGTTCGGGGCACCAATAATCATTCTCTCTCACCTTACACCAAAAATCATTCTCTTCTCCCTCTTTAACCTAATTTCTAGCCTCCTTATTCTTCCATAATAATTCCCCTAAGCACTCCAAGGAGTCTATACTTAACCCGAGGTTCCGTCCTTAAACCAAGGCGTGAAAGGTACAAATAACTGAGGGTTTGGACCAAATCAACTCTACTTTTTATTTAATTTAATTTTCATTTACTTTGTATTTTCATTGAAGTTACTAACAGTTTATTCATGATGTAGCAATTCAAAGGAACGCGCAGAATGTGAGTAATTAATCAATTTAATTACTCTTATTTTATTTTAATATTGCTAGTATCATGATTAGGGTTATTTTATATTTGATTTGACTAACGCTATTATTGTTAAACTGCTTCCAATATTAATGTTTATTCTATTATTATTTATTGATCACTATATTGCATGTTTAAAGGGAATATGTAATTGAAAATCACGACTAATAAGATAATTTGGACAACCGGTTTAGGATCCTTTTAATCTTATTATTAATTGAAGTGATCACAATATTTTAGAATTATGTGTGCATTAATATTAAACCAATTTAGTTAAATAATAGTTTGGAGCGAATTGAATTATTGTTTGTATGCCTTTGAGATCACAGGAATGCTTTTCAATATAAGAATCGAGTAGAGGCCAATACGAGCGAATGTGACTCCATGACTCACTTTGTACCATAATCCCCGATCCTCTTTTCGTGGTTACGAACCATATGGAGTTAGTAATCTCATGGATTATGAATGGGGTGTAACCTTCAGGGGTCAATCGTTGTTGCCTATCGTTGTCCCTTTATCGTGGTTGCCTTTTTATGATCCGTGAACGGTTTACAAGTTCCTTAAAAACTTGTTGTCGGCTCCCTATTTTCCTTGTCCCTAATCGTATTATGTCAATTCCTACTTCCTATGAGTGCCAAGCATATTCACCACATGCTTTTAACGTAGGCGCACTTCGAGCGACGCCTACAATTTGGCGACTCCACTGGGAGGATTCTTAATTATTTATCGATTTGAGTGATCGGTATTTAATTAAGATGAGTGGATGAGACTTGAAAGATTCTTGAAAAAATATTCTTGTGATTAATTTGGCATTTTTGCATATGCATAGACGTTTTAACGTCGCATTCAGGTCAATCCCGTAGGAAAAATTGGATAACTTGGTTGCGCACGAAGAAAAACAGGGCACAAGTCAGATCTTCTGACTGCCGTGCCACGACAAACTCTGCCGTGTCACGGTACAGTGCACCGTCTGACGGTGCACAGTACCGTGACACGTGAATTTTTGCCGTGTCACGACAGTCCTAAAATCAGTCCGGTGGCTTATTTTCTTTCCTCACAGTCGACTTCCTTCGACTTTTCTGAAAAAACGTATGTGTTCTACATGCGTCTTAGCCCCGGGGGATTTAAGCTCTATCGACCTAAAAACGCTCATGGCAATAAGGGTTCATCCGAGTTATTAAATCCACCCAAACCATGGAGTCGAGTTCGATTTCATCACGAACTCGCGGAGCCGCCCGTTGGCATACACCCTCAAGGGAGGATGTCTTTCTAACGCGTCCAAACTCTTAACCATGGTACCCTTTTGACACCCAAAGCTTGAACAATAGTTGAACATAGAACTTGACCTTAGGTTGCGAACTATTCTTTGCATCATTGTGCCTACATGTTTTATGTTTGGTCGTTTTGATCCTAACCTTAACGATCTTTCTTTGTCTATGGTGGATTATTTTATGACTAACGATTGCCAATGGACCGTACTCACTTAGTAATTAGCAAAAAAAAAAAATTGTCGTGTCACGGTACAGTGCACCGTCTGACGGTGTGCCGTACCGCGGTACGGGAATGTTTACCGTGGCACGAGAAAGTTCACCGTGTCACGGCAATTTCCACCGTGACACGGTGGATTTTCCAAAAAAAAAAATTGTCGTGTCACGGTACAGTGAACCGTCTGACGGTGTACCGTACCGTGGCACGAGAATGTCCACCATGGCACGGAAAAAAAAAAATTTTCGTGTCACGGTACAGTGCACCGTCTGACGGTGTGCCGTACCGTGGCACGGGAATGTTTATCGTGGCACGGGAAAGTTCACCGTGTCACGGCAATTTCCACTGTGACACGGTGGATTTTCCAAAAAAAAAAAAAAACGCGT